TCCCTCTATGTGCCCCTTTATCTGTGTCTCATTCTGTCCCCCGATGTTACTGTGTCTCTCTGTGTCTCTCAGTCTCTCTATGTGCCCCTTTATCTGTGTCTCACTCTGTCCTCTGCATTACTGTGTCTCTCTGTGTCTCAGTCCCTCTATGTGCCCCTTTATCTGTGTCTCACTCTGTCCCCCGGTGTTAATGTGCTCCAGCAAGCTTCTCTCAGTCTGCGTGTCTCTGTGTTACTGCACCTCTCTCCATCCCTCTGACAGTAGCACAGTGGGACAGAGTAACACCTTTACCACATGTGCAAAGTTTGCGAATAGAGTGAATATGGTTCGCATATGGCCTGTGCATGTCTTCCAAATGGTTTGTGTTGCAACATCTGCACGTTGTTTTGTCTATGATCTCCACATGTTCCTCACATGATGTCTGAACACGATCTGCGCTTGTTTTGCACACAGCCCATCCACGAGAGCTCTTTATTCCATTGGCTGTGTTCTGAGCCTTATCTATGTCTCGCTGAGGGCTTCCCCTTCTGTGGAGTGAAAGTGGTCTAAGTCGTCTATGCTGGACATGTTCCCAGCACAGACCCTATCCAGAGCCATTTCCCATATGGCTGAGAATACCAGCGATGGATAAACAGTATTAGCTCATCCTTCTGGCACTGACATTCAGCTCAGGTCCAAGGCATCATTGTCTCAGCACAGAGCACCAATTTCACAAGGCCATGATTTAACAACAGAGAGAGCATTGTTGTAAAAAAAAAAAAAAAAAAAAAAAAAGGTCCGTTTTCATAACAAAACCGTCACATTTCGTGAATTATGTATAGCTGACGTTTGTGCCAGTTGGACTGATAAGCTGTGTGGCAACACAAAAAAGAGATGCAAAAAAATTCACTTATTTGTTCCGATCCATGATCCAACAGATAGTCACAGTTTCACATGGGTTGTCCACAAAGCTGGAAAACTGTAGGCCTGCTAGATTTATGCAAGAAGGATTGTGAAAGGATGTGGAGAAATATTTAAGCCTCGGTAGGTATTTGTAAAACAAGTTTTGGGGATATTTCACAACCTCAATCCAGTTTTTTTTTTTTTTTTTGTAAGAGTCTTATTAAGATTCTCTCCTGCAGACAAATGTCGTATTTACACATCTAACCTCATAGCAATTCAGATGGCGTGATCCGGGCTGGGGTTGGCTTTCATTCCCTGCTCGTTCCTGTTTGGCCACGGTCACTGTTTGAGCCATAGGGACATCCTGAACCCACACCTTTCCACTCCTTTGTGTTTGACAGGTTTCAGGCACCTCTTTCCTCAGGATGTCACACAGATCCTTGTTTTGGGTTCCTCTCCACGTGCTTCGTGGGGGAGCTGGTATCTGAGCCCTATCTCATTTCACCACTGCTTCTACTTCACTGTCGACTTCCTGTCCTTTTTAAATGTGTCGTCATAGTGACATTTCACTGTTAGTGATGAACATGTATAGGGAAAACTTCCATCTAAAGCTTTGGTAACACTTTACTCGAGGGGAAACAAATAAAGTAGTAGTATACTCCTACTTAATGTATTAATTAACCAGAAAATAAGTGCTAGTTGCACATTGATCCCATGTTCATTCATCATAAATCATTCATAACAGTGCATGTAGGAGTTGCTACATTTGTTCATGATTTGTACTTGAGTTACTTGTGCCTCCTCACATGAAGTATTACCAAAGCTTTTAACAAATGTGAGGAGATCACTTTTTTTAAATGTATGTGTGATGTGAACATTACCTTACCTCACCTCTTCCCTGTGTAACCCAAGTAATGGATAAATCATTAGCTGTTCTAGGCCAGAAATCTGTCCTTTCAACTAAAAGGGAGAAAACAGGGTTGACTCATTTGAACTTCATCTCAGCTTAATCCATTCCTTACTTTTGCTTGTATAATAGAAAAGGCAAACTAAAATATTCACTTACTTGCTAAATTATATTTTTATACAAGTTCACATTGATATAAACATCTAGCCGTTGAGTAAAAGGTTTTCATGTCCTTCAAGATGTCTAAAATACTGAACTGTGTGTTACTACTGATGATCTCAATAGAACCAAAACGGCTAATTTAGTGCACAGTAATCGTTCTATTTTTTCCCAGTTTCCTGCAGATGTCTTTTCACTTTCCCTCCAAATGAGTTTTCCCTATCAGCTAATGTGAAAAGGCCATGGAGTTTACTGGGCTGTGCCTGAAAAGACTTTAGAAATGCTTTTTATAAGCAACACTTCTGCGTTCCTTCCAACAAACCTCCAACAAGTAAAAAACTGAAAAACAAGCACTTGCATCAATCCAATGTCTGTTTCTTAAATGTTCTTGCTGTGGAAAGATTAGAGTGGAAACGACATTCGTTGCAGTCAGCGATCTGCTGTTCTGGATCAAGGCTCCTCAGCTGGCTTCTCCATTCACTTTGGACCCTGTAGGTCCGTGGCGAAAATCCAATTTGATGCCGTCATTTCACAAACGGTACACCTTTGGCTGCGGCCTCGCTGCAGATGGAAGGCATTAAAGGTGGGCGGACTTGACCAGGTCTCAAGCTATAACAATACTTTCCCACATATTTCAGAAACTTTAGCACGGTGCCAACTTTGGTCACAGGGGAAGAAGCACTATATTCACATGGGCGACACTTATTCCCTTGCTTTTTCTCACTAGGAAGGACAGAGGAATCCTAGTTTTCAGACACGTCCTACTCACTCAAAACCAAAACTGCTGTTACTAGACTGATAGGGGAGCATGAGGCCTCATAATCTTATCCTCGTTATGTATATGTAGCTTGAAAGAAGATGTCGCATGTGGGAGGGAAGGTGGGGATTTGGTCATCTCAGGCAGGGGGGTTCAGGTGACGATATCTGTTTACTGTTTTGATGTCACATTCACTTTTATCCTCAGTTCTTCACTGATGATGATGATGATGATGATGATGATGATGAAAACCTTTATTGCTGTTGCAATACACCATGTCACTAGTCACAAGTACCAGCGAAAAACTGGCCATCAACCCGACCATACATGTACAAACATCACATTATAGGGGGTAGACAGGTCAGGAAGACGGGGATATACAGTAGGAAGAACAGAGAAAACAGAATTACATGAGGAGAGAGGAGGAGAATAAAGAAACAGCCCCCAGACTGTACTCCAGTACACGCTGGGGGTATGAAGCGGTGAATGCATGGGATGGGGGGAGGGTGCGGTGAGTGCGTATCTGTACGTATGTATATGTGTGTGTGTATCCAGGTGTCCTTGGGATTGGGGGAGAGGAATGCAAGAGAGTCTCACTGCCTTGTTCTTCCGGGGGAGTTGTTAATTCAGCAGCGGCCTTGTCACTGTGCTCAGTATTATTTTACTGCCCCGTAAGTAGCAGAAAACCCTCTTTCATTATTGACAGAATAGCTGCGTGCACATATTATTATTATTATTATTATTATTATTATTATTATTATTAAAATTATTATCAGTAGGAGTAGTAGTTGGAGGAGTAGTAGTAGTATTAGGAGTCGTTGTAGGAGTAGGAGTAGTAGTAGGAGTATTAGTGTAATTGCTATTAAATTCATTGTCTCAGATCTTTAAGTCCAGACTGAGACCTGACTTCAGGCCATTCCTTCTCTCTGAACATGTGTCTATGGAGGCTTATAGGGTTGAGATAAACCAGCAGAGGAATGTGGTCTCTGCCACGGAGTTGAGAAACAAAAGCGATGACCAGGCTGAGACAAAGACTGCATTTTATCATTCCATCACCCACAAATGGGATCAGGACATAGTCTGGAGCCTGTGTCACAACCACAGAGGTAGCTTTCAAACCCTCACCATCATAATTAAATGGACCCTTAATACATCGCAGCTGGGAAATCTTCGGTTTTCCTCCATTGTTGTAGTATTGTTATATTATAATAGATGGAATAGTCATTAAGGACATGCGAGTTCCTGGAGGTCGGGGGTGGGGGGGGGGGGGGTCATGCCGTAAGGGGTGGGGCCTATGCCAAGAAATATGGGTCACAAAGCTGGGATCCTGCACAATATGGGGAGGACATGCAAACTCCACAAACACAGAGAGATAAGGGAGGCGACACCCAAACCCTGGACATGTGAAACAAGGCGGCTACCGACTGAGTCACTGCGCCACTGTATAGCTTCAGCCAAAAAATAAAATGTGCTTTACAGTAAATAAATGCATTATATATGAATCTCAGTGAAGGTCAGCTTTATTTCTGGAGTCATGCATGTTAAAAGGCAAATTCTACTGACACTTTGCGGTGAGCTAAAATATCAATATGGTTCAAGAAATTATATATAAGAAATATATGCAATGTATTTGCATGTCACAAAATCATACCTTTGTCTCGTTTTCAGAATTCTCCTACATTATCTAAAATAAGATTTGTGTGTGTGTGTGTGTGCGTGTGTGAGAGAGAGAGAAAATATTGTCAGACTCTAAATCTTGATGTGGGTGAAGGAATGAAGGAACAAAGGTTGTTACTGGTCAAAAATGACAAAAATGTTAAAAAAAAAAATGTAAATGCAAAAATGAAAAAAAAGAATGAAAATCATATTGAAAAGGACTTAAGGATGTTAAAACACTACTTAAAGTATGTGAAAAATCTAGTGAGCTATTTTCTTATCAGTGATGCAGAATGTGTTAGAGGTTAAGGAGTGGATACGTGTGTTTGTGCCTCCGTGAGACAGTTACTGCTTCCCTGTGAATGCCTCTGTTCTGCTCTTATGAAACATTACTACATTGTTCTGCTCTTATGAAACATTTTTTGTTCTGGCTTGTCTATGAGGACATGTGGTACCTGACTGTTAACACACGCTACTCTGCGGACAAATATTACCATTAATATCCGGATGCTACATGAACGAGGGTTGTGGGTGTCATCAGTAACAGTTAATTCTCTGCCTTTTCTTGTAGATGATGCCAGCTATTTCAGAAAAAGATAAAGCTGGTAAGTTTACATCAGTTTCTTCCTTGTGCACACTTACGTCTAATCAAAATAATCAGCAGTTTTGTGCTTAAGTTTGACGTGCTGTAATATGCTTGCACAGTTCATTGTGACCACACTGGGACCATACAATTGACTGTTTTTTCTTTTTTGGTTGTTTACCTATAAAATATTTCCTTGCTGGTATTCCAGTGGGTAAAATGTCGTTCGATCTGTTATCTGAGATGAATGAAGCCGCTGTATAGCTTTGATATGTCAGACAGCCGCTTCTGTGTATCCTTATCCTGAGACCTCATGAAGCGGAATTGCATAACATGCACAGCTAATCTTTGTCCACCTTACGTAATACCTATCGCCTGTTTATCAATCCGAAACAATGTAGCAATGTATTTATCCAGTCAGAATAGAATAGGCAAGGCAAAAAATGGGTGTAACTTAGGCTTGGTTTAAGGACACATCAGTATGACTACACCTTCCCTTCACAAGAATTGAATTGTAAGTATTCATAGGATCCCATTATACTGTTTATTATGTGTGGGTCCAAATAGTGATGGTGATAAATTTGTTACATTGCTCGCATAAATAGCCCATTCCCTAGCCTCACCATTCTGAGGGAGCACGTCTTGGCATGGTAATATTTGCTGGAAATGTGTACGCCAAGGGGCAGCCTTGGATAGGGCTGATAAGCAGGTTGGATTGTGGTCCGGGTTCTTCTATACCGGTGCAGAAAGCCGTCATTCACATTTCCATCACAGAAGCTTTTCCCCGGAGCAGCTGATTGGTCATGTGACAGATTAACCCCTGTGACACCAGCCAGCACAGAGCAACGTTTAAACAAGGTACCATGGGAAGGCAGCACTGCTTGCTCAGCCTGACACTGCAGTATGTACTGTAGGACAATGCAGTAACACTGCCTGTGTTACAGTACATTGAAGTGTCTAACGATTCACAGAATCATTTATAAAACAAAGAGAAGCACCAAAATAAACTCCTGAATTTAGGGGTCCCCTTACGCCACCCAGATCATAAAAACTATTAAGAATTAATTTGATGCTATTTTATTCAAAAATATTACACAGAATCTCTTTCGTACAGAAGGAGATTCAAATGCACAAAATATTTTGGGTTGTTAGCACTTGACTTGTGACTTGGAATGGCTAGGAGCCGTAGTATTTGAGTTGTACTTCTAGTGATTTGCATTTTGTTTGACTTTAACGTTTATTCTTGGAAGTGGTAGAGCATTTCAAAAGTCCAGTCTGAGTATAGATCCGGCATGAGGTTCATTTGTGGAACATCTGCCCAATCTAAAAATACCACAGTGGGAATACATAAACATAGAAGAATGAGAGAATCTTTCCACTGGCTGACAGCGTGACCCTTTGCATGCTGGGAGGTCTCAAATAACATTAACTGCTGATGGATGAAAAGGAATATTACATGCTAGTTTTGTCTGCAAGCCAGGCGAAAACTCAAAAAGGAAAAGCTTCATTGTTCATTTGAAGCAAAACAAATCAATCGTTTGGAAGCATGTGCAAGTTGGAATCTTTGGTGCACTTAATCTGCTGACCTCTCATTTTTTTTCCCCTACAAAAAGTTTCGATCTAAACTTTTTTTAAACAAATTGTGTCAGCATTTTTTTCCCTCTAGATTTTAAGTTTGTGACCCTTTAAGTTATGCTGGTGGATGAAATCTCTCCCAGGTTTGATGTTTAGTCTGGGTTCGTTATTAATGCATTTAGTGCTCTGTTAAAGCTCGCTGTCCCCACAGACGGGAGGAATTTCATTTCCTTTCCATGTGATTTTTTTAGAAAACAATGGGAAATGTCATTTTTATATATTCAATTTATTCATAATTATTATTCTCTTATTTACCAAAAATAAACAGTGAAACTTTAATCAGAATTATTGCAGAGAAGCTTTTAGTGGTTCTCCTTTAGTAGAAAAGATGGAGCATCTTCTAGCAGCTCAGTACTGACCGGTTGATCCCGTTGTCTTGTGAGAGACAGTCGGGGCTCCAGCTTTCCATCCAGTCTGTTTACTTATCTAAGTCCCACTGACTTGTGTAGGACAGCTGGAGCAGCCAACGGCATAGTCTACAATGACTTGTCTCCTTGGCATCTGAGGGACAACATGGCTAATTCCTCAGTAATGCTTCAAACAAATACCCAGTTATTATTCATCTGAGAGCCTTTATTGCCATATTTCATAAAAAAAAATTAAAAAAACCACTTTCAATCAATGGGCTATTTTCAAGGCATCTGTGGAATTTGGGATGTCCGTGGTATTTTGTGAATTCACTGTGTTCAGGGCATTCTTAGAATTCAGGTTGTCCAGGGTTTTTACTATGTCCCGGCATTTTAGTACATTCAGTGTATATCCTGTGTTCAGGGTTTCAATATTCAGTGTGTATGCAGTGTTCAGGAGGTTCCAGTTGTGGTATTCATAGGTCATTCCAGGGGCAGTTCTAGTGTTAGAGGTTATCGGGGGCTTAGAACTGAAATTGTTGCACATCATAACAGTAAATATATTCATAGCCTGTGCTGTGTGTGGGCACCCCTGGTGCTGATCACGGTTCATGCCATGGGCCTAAAACAGATATGCAAGCAACAACTGCGCAAATCAAGCTAAATGCTCCATCCTAAGTGTCACCCTATTTGTGTTGCAAAGTGTAGTGCAAGACATAATAGTGAAGACTATAATAGAATAGTATTGTGTAAGCTATAGTATTTAAGTAAAACAGCTTTACTAAAGCTTCTCGATTGGGAATTCCTGCGATACAAATTGCATCAAAAGAATTCACGTACAGGGGATTCTTTTATCCTATGATGCTTCTTGTCCTCTCATTCATTCCGCAGCCCTCTGGAATATAAAAAATACCCGGCCTTAGATCATTAGTTCATTGTGTGACCAGAATATAAAACCACAGGCCGAATGTTTGACGCACAGCACTGGCAATGACATCACGGCCATCCAGTTATCGGCCCACTGGCGTTATTTCACTTTCACTTATCAGGGGGTGGGGATGATAAACAGCCATCCTACTGTCTTGCATTATAACACCTTGCCTGTCCTGTTAAGTCGATCATTATAGCATAAGCATGCAAGGAGGTGCATTGCTATAGATAGGAGGCTCAGGATTTCTGCATACCTGCATGTGTGTAGTGTTACCATTCTGTCATCCCTGTCAGAAACCACACTTTGACATATTGTACAGCATCACTGAACCCCAATACATACATTGTTCCCCAAGCTAAAAACTCCTCTATATCAAGTCAAATGTCACAGCAATGGAGCTGAAGTGTTGCGGCTGTAAATATTCAGCCCGGGTGTGCTGACGAACGTGAAGTCGCCGAGGGTATAGGCGACCTCCACCTAGGGAGTGTCCTCTCAGCCTGCACTGCTCAAAGGACGGCTCTCACACTGGCTGCATCATTTCAATGCACCCCCCCCCCCACCACCCCACACTCACATACACACACGCACACCGGCACACACACAGACAGCTGTGAGTCAGAAGAGAGGATTCTGCAGAGGGATGGGCTGCATGTGTCGCATGTAGACCAATAGGGTACCTACACAGACACACAGACATACGGACGCGCGCAGACGCACGCGCGCAGACGCACGCGCTCCCCGCCCGGCTGCTCCCTGACATGGCTCAGTCTGCCCGGCTGCTGTTGCTAAGGCGATCCCTCAGCGAACATCTCCACCGCTCCACCAAGACCCTGCAGCTTCTTCACAAAAGCAGCAGGGAGGCGCGTCATGCAGGTGAGCGAAGTCAGAGGTGAGGGCACGGCCGCCCCTGCCCTGTCGGCATGGTAACGGGGCTGCTTCGTCGCCTTCTTGGGCGGGCTCAGCTTTACGGATATCTCGCAGTCTGGCCGTCCGCCTGATCTGCTGCGGCGTATGGAATGTTCTGCTGGTGTATTTGGAGTGACGTGAAACGCCGTGACTTAGGAGCACAGGAGAGTGCGAGACAAAGGCTTGCATGCTGAGAGACAGGGAGCAGTGCAGGAGCTGCTGAGTCATGTTGCAGGAGGCGACCGGGCTGCAGAACACATGCCATCTGTGCTGTAATTGCAGTGTTACTGTCTCTATTGTAAAGGCACTGTTACTGTATGTGAAAAGGTAATACTACAGTAATGGCACATTTATTGTAATGGTCTTGTTAATATCTGTGGTATAATAGTAGTGTTACTATCTGTAATGTATGAGTAATGTTACTGCTTTCGATATAATGGTTGTGTTACTCTCTGTGGTATAATGGCAAGTTACTATCTGTGATCTTACAGTAGTACTACTATCTGAGATGTAATCGTAGGGCTACTATCAGTGATATAATAGTAGTGCTACTGAATGTGTTGTAATGGTAGTGTAACGTGTGACGTAGGACTTTCGTGGTCGTGTAATAGCAGGGTTATTCTCTGTGGGATAATGGCAATGTGTGTATCTGTAATGTTATGGTAGTGTTGCTCTCTGCAAAATAATTGTAGTGTTACGATATGTATTACACTTCCAGTGTTACTATCTGTCATGTAATAGTAGTGTTACTGTCTGTTATGTAATTGTAGTGCTATGTGTCGTAATGGTAGTGTTATTATCATGAAGTAAGTGTATTGTTACAGTCTGACAGGTTGATGACAGGTTTGCTACAGGTTTTACTGTTTGTGATGTTATGTTACTGTTTGTCATGTAAGGAAAAATTACCATTCTGTGATATTTTAAGAAGCAACATAATGAATACAATTTTTTCACCAGAATTTATTTTTACATTATATACATTATATGAACCAGTACTGCATGTGGCTGATATTTGTTAGCACTGGGAGAATCCATTTGGCTTTAATCCTAGCTAATCATGGTAAGGTTATCTTCTAAACACAAGAGTGCACACAGACTCATCCTGGTACAAGCCTCTGGTATGGGCAAGTTGCTTTTTTTAAAAAAAAAATGTTTATTAATTCTGTGACAAGAAAGTGTATTTCCTCTGCCATGACAATGGGTCTCAGGAGTTACTCAGTGTCACAGGAAAGAAACAGTGTTTCACTCAGACAAGGAAAGTACAAGAAAGGCTTTGCAGATAAAATTCCCCCAGTGTGGCACCACTCATGGATTTATGGCATTTATAAATATGGTCTAACATCTTGTTTTCTTCAGATAAGAATCAGTTTGTTATATAACTCATTGAGTCACAGGAGATAGGAAAGGGACACCTCAAAGTAAACTTACAGTAGCTTTAACAGGCTTCTGTTAATTCTGAGGGGCATCTAGCCTCCCAAATTTGTGAAATAGACAGTACAGATAGCCAGTGAAACAATAGCAAGATGCTCCAGTGATTATATGTAATATAAATAATACATTGTAACACATAGTAATACATTGTAAGCTATTAGAATGCAAGTCCAGCTTGACAGTAGAACACACAAACTCATGCATGTCACTATAGCAATTCTTTGATTATGGTAATTCGTTTTACGTTTTTTTCACAGTAAAAGGTTTCGAGTTTTCATACCAGAATCTTGATTTATGGACTGGTGTTCATGAAAAAGCACCATAAATTGGAAAAAGCATTGAAAACCAAATTATTATTTTAAATGTGGAAAATTATAATGTGATTCCAGCCCAACCAAAAACCCCAGTTTTCCAAAATATCACCATAACAATGGAAAAATAATGCTATTTAGTATAATGAACCTTTATTGTAGTCACTTATTGTGCCAAAGAAATTGAGGCATGATACATTGTTTTTCCCTTTTTGTTACACATTTGGCTATAATGATACTTTTGAAAAATCAATGCATTTAATGTTGTTTAGCATAGTCTTTGGTTGGAAAACGTCACATGGAGGATACATTAGTAACAGAAATCGAGGGATGGCTGTAAATGTATAAATATGTATCTATGTGTGCATTACATGCCTCCAGAAAAAGGGCAGCATCTCCCAATCCTGTCAGTGTCAGACCATTTTTGGGATAATTTGTTAGTTTCCATCCATCCATCAATTAATCCATCCACCCACTTATATCCAGTACGGGGTCGTAGAGATTCTTAGCATGTCTAAGGAAGCACGGGATACAAAGCAGAGGACACACTGCACAGGATGCTGACCCAGGGCACACTGCACAGGATGCTGACCCAGGGCACACTGCACAGGATACTGATCCAGGGCGCACTGCACAGGATGCTGACCCAGGGCGCACTGCACAGGATGCTGATCCAGGGCGCACTGCACAGGATGCTGACCCAAGGCACACTGCACATGATGCTGACCCAGGGCGCACTGCACAGGATGCTGACCCAGGGCACACACAATCACACCCTATCAGCGTTTTTTATAACGCCCAGTTAACCTAACTGCATATCCCCGGACTATGATAATCAGCTGGAATAATGGTAATCGACTGGAATACCCAAAGGAAACCCGTCCAGCACAAAGAGGACATGAAACTCTAAGAATAGCTTAAGTATTGTGTAAGAATGCAATTGATGATTTACTGAAACTGCAAGCGCCTGTTATTCATTGCAAATATCAGTTTCAGCATCACAATCTGATAGAGTGGAATATAACTTTATTATAAAAAACATGCGTATGCATAGTTTATGTTTAATGAGAATCTCTCAAAATTCATTACAGCTGGAAATATTTCTAATTGAGGATTGTACTGCATTGCATGAACCAGATCATTGCAATATGGAAAGAGGATAATTGCCTGTGTTTTATATTTGTTCCTTATGGGCTGACATGAATGCCTGTGGCCAGTTTGTGATTGTGGTTTTAATGAATGCTGGTGATAATGGATACAGTTAACATTCCATTTAGCCTGTAATATGTTCCGCAGACCCCTCAAAGCCAGCTAACATGCATTTTCGTGAAATGCAGAGTGTTTTATTCTGTGAGTAATATATTTCAGCTTCTGTGTCTGGATCAAAGCAGATCTTATTGGACCCGCGGGTCACTGTTTGTTATTGTTCAGTTTCCCATCTCTCCCATGCTACTGGGCTCAAGTCTGTCTTCTTCAAGGCCACAGTGGGCTGAATCGCAGAGACAGGAACAAGCTGTTTCCCTGACATTTTGCAAATTATGAAAATACATGTTATATGTCACTTGTTTGATACTGTTCTGCTTTTGATCACAGACCACATGAAAGACCTTATTTATAAATATGTGACCCTCAATTTCAGTCTCACGCTTTCAGTCTCCTGGCCTTGAAAATCCCTGCTCCTCTCTTACAATCCCCGGCTTCAGTAATCAAATGGTATTTTCTTATGTATTGTTTCATTCTTTTTTCTATAGCATCATTTGGTTGTTCCCCTGTAAAACATTAACAAAATATTGAATGCATATCAATAGGCTTACTATGTAAATTTGCTGCATGTTAAAGCATGTCTTTTTATGATCATTGAACACACAATTGTTTGTTGATTGAATACTATAGATATTTGTAGGATACCTGTAGGGGAAACATTCAGATAGTGAGATTGGGCATTTGCTTCTAATCCTAATAGGGAGTCATGAAATCAGCAGGATATGGATCTGCACTCATGTTTGCAAGATTGAAAGTGCAGTCCTATTACTGGTAGAGCTATCATATCACCATTGGGCCCTTGTGCAATGCACTTTGGACAAAACTGGCTGCTAAATAAATGTAATAAATATACAGTACCAATCTAAACTTTGGATACACCAAGTCACCTACAAAGGACAGTGATAGTGTCGCATCACATGACCTGACCACCTGACCTAAACATGGTTTTGGAGGAGTCTGACCAGAGCGTGAAGAAAAAGCAGCCAATGAGTGCTTATCATATATGTGGAACGTCCTACAGGACGCTGGAAAAGCATCCCAGGAGGCCACCTCATGGAACTGGCATAAAGGAGAAAGTAGGGTCAGATAGTCCCTGCAGCCATTGGAGTTAGGGGCCTCGCTCAAGGTCCCATTGGTGGGATCACTCTGCTGTCCAAGGGATTTGAACCAACAACCTTCTGAGTCCCAACCCGCAGATATTTTTGTTTTGTTTAATACTTTGTTGGTCAGTGAATAATCCATATGTGTTATTTTATAGTTTTTGTGTGTTCATATGTATTTTAAAATGTAGAGAATAGTACAGTATACCTTTTATAGGTAGATGTGTCCAAACTTTTGACTGATACTGTACATTTTGTACATCCCGTTGCTTTTGCAGATGTCACACCTTCAGAGCTCTAGATAGCCAATTAGCAATGAGTGCAGACATGATTTAAATGTAATAGCTGTTACTGCCTTAATGTCAGCTGTAAGCCTGAATTTCAGTCTGACAAACAGATGTGTGGAATCTCACCCAAAACTAACCACTCCATTTGTCAAAGGAAGGGCGAGCAGATTTACTAATACTTAATAACGTGTCACATACATATCAAAGGCCGTCAAGAATTTCCCATCTGCTCAGTATTCAAATGCCCTTCTCAGTTTTCGATGTGTGAAAATATAACAGCATTCATAAATATTCATTTTTTTGCCTAAAAGTACAGCAGTCTAATACTTTGATCTCAGGTTTTATGGAAACGAATTTCTGATCTGTTTTTCATCTAGGATTCAGTTTGATATTCTGGTGTATTCAGTTGTATTTTCAGTAGGTGTAAAGGTACAGTTGTGTCATCATAAGGCACCTTCAGGTAGGTCACATGCTTTTCAGCAAAAATACATAGAGCAAAGTTTGAAAGCAAAGTATAGCATTAGTCTACATCATCTGCTCTGTGATAGCCTCATTGTTTTGGTTTGTATCTCTGG